CAGTGCCAAATAATTCATTTCTTCCCCATATGTCTCTGGTGCCTTTCAAGCTTCCTCCCCCACACTGGAGCCTGGAGGGAGTGAGTCTGAATAAGTCCGTGCACGGGCCCTTTAAGGAGCTGCCTGGGGCTCCAGCTGCCTCAGCTTCCCTGAGCCTCAGTTCCTGCTGGTTTTTCCAGCCAGAAGTTATGGGGATTCTCTTCCTGGCACTGGAACCTTGAGCTGGGCACCTGTTGTGGGACAGGGACCCCCACAGTCCTCAGGGAAGACCTTCCCAGCCGAGGTGTCCTCCTGATTTTTATCCACCACACGTGGGTGTGGGACCAGCCTGTCCCCTCCGCCCTTTTACCAGTCTGGATGTGGCTGCTTTAATTCCGTAGTTGTAGGACTTCCATTCAGCTTGATTTCAGGTGGTTTTGGATGATGGTTTTCCTGTAGTTTAGTTGTAACTTTGATGTGGTTGTGGGAGGACACAATACTGCATTACCGGAAGTGAGAAAACTTATTTCTAAATTTGTATTGAAATGGGCAATTCTAGCAAGGAGTTAAAACAATTAAGTCTTGGTGGGCTGAGTTTAGTGTTGGGACTCCAGGTTGTAGATGTCACTAAAAGAAAATTTCAGGTCACATTACCCCTCTTACTTGGCACAGGCATTTTTCATAGCACCCTTCCTACATTGGCTTGCCCCCAAAATCCAAATTAGTAGCTATATTTTTTCATTAGAAAAAAACAAGGTACTAAAAGAATGGTTAAAGAAAAGCTAAAAAGGAAGAAAGTCCAAGGCAGTGGTTCTCAGCATTAGTATTACCTAGGGATCTTAAAAAATCCTGATACCCAGGCCACACCCTGGACCAATCAAATCATTGTCTGTGGGGGTGGGACCCAGGCCTGGTGTTGCTAAGTTGTCCAGGTGAGTCCAATGTACAGCTAAAGATCAGAATCAGTTTACTGAGCAGGGTTCTCACCCAGCTGGAGCAGCACAGGTCCAGGAGCCTGGCCTGATTCTCAGGGCTGGGATCAACCAGGAAATGACTGACAGCTGGTGCAGGACTCAGGGCTCAGTTAGAGATCTCTGGGCGGAGAGCAATCCGGGCCCCACCCTTCAGCTCAGTGGTGAGCAACCTGTCCTGCACAATAGCCAACCCATAAAATCGAAAATGTATTTATGGGTGACTTTATTTTTTTCCAAATGAAAATAATTTGAGGCCTATAAGAATGATTAGTATTACAATGTAAGATTATAGAAGACTATGAAAGTTGTCTTCATTACTATTACTTAAAATATCTAGCTGGATATTTTAAAGAAAGGATACTGTAGACAGTTGTCTAAACCTCTATTTTGAGAGTACAGCGTGGACCTTCAAGAGTGAAACCAGGTGGCTTGTGGGTGGCGATTGCCTATCTCTGCTTTAGTTTATGGTTCCCTAAACCTGCCATGGAAATTAGCTAAACTGATTTTTTTTTTTAATCCTCACCCGAGGATATTTTTCTATTTATCATCAAATAGAGTGGGAAGGAGAGCGAGCGAGCGAGCGAGAAACATGGATGTGAGAGGAACACATTGACTGGTTGCCTCCCACACAACCCAACCAGGCTGGGGATAAATTGCAACCGAGGTACATGCCCTTGACCATAATCGAACCCGCAACTCATTGGTTCATGGGCCGACACTGTAACCGTGGAGCCAAACCGGCCAGGGCACTAAATTGATTTTCTGAAGCTCTCTACTTACTGAGGAATAATCTGTAATCTAAGCTTGGCATTTTTCTTCACGAAACTAGTGGAAGTGGTGAAAATGGAAAAAAGTGTCAGTGCATCATGTGTTTATGTGGTGAATTCGGTGGAGTTTTGTTTGTTTGTTTGTTTTTTATCCTCACCTGAGGACATTTTTCCATTTTTTTGTTCAGATAGTGTGGGATGGCGAGAGAGAGAGAGAGAGAGAGAGAAACATCAACGTGAAAGGGACACATCGAGTGGCTGCCACCCGTACAACCCAACCAGAGCAGGGGACAAACTGCAACCGAGGTACATGCCCTTAGCGGGAACCGAACCCAGGTCTCTCTGGACCGCAGGCTGACACTCTAACCGCTGAGCCAAACCGGCCAGGGCGGTGAATGGAGTTTTGACGCAGCAATGGACTGAGAGACTAGCAGGCTATTGCACGGTGCAGTGCTAGAACTCCAGATCGGTGTCCAGGAGCAGCAACAGAGGCGCTAGCTCGGGTGTGCTTGATGTCGCTTATTTGGGTCACAGACACACACACACACTCACTGACACACACCCTCACACACTCTTCCCCATCTTCTTGGCAAATCACTGCCCTGCTTGTCCTCTGGAGAGCACTTTGTTTTTTCACTGATAAAATACCCTGTAATCTACTTCTTTAGACTTGGCTTATTTCTTCAGGAGGCCAACAGAAGTGGTTAAAATTACAAACAATTCCTGGTGGGAATTTCGCTGAGGAGAGTGAAAAGGGAAGAAATGGAGCCAGTGCAGGGCTTGCTAGTGAGCAAAAAGACATATCATATGAAACAAAGTTTTAATTTTTATTTTACATATTTATACATAAAACATTCAAGGAACCCTCTGAATCCAACAGAATGTTAATAGCACATCTAAAAATGAACTTCAGGTAGTCAACATTCACAAAATGTTGAAAACTGATGAAAATATACATATTACAGAGAGCTACGACTCACTACGAGGCAGGCACGGGTTTTTTGACTTGTATAGCACCGTCATTTACAGTTCTTCTTTAAAACTACAGTGAAGAATGAAAGTAGTCAATGGTAAAATACTGCTCCAACTTAAAAATCTCTAAACAAATAAAAATAAAGTTAAAACTACCCTCTTTGATTAACCATGAGCTGTGATGGTGTAAGTACTGTACATTTTTGTAACAATATTCCATTAAAATGCCTGCTATTTAGTGGCACAGTAAAAACATTAAAATAAATTAAGAAGCAAAGGCCAGAAAACTGCCCTGCTTGAATGCTGGGGCAGGAGGTGGTTGGCTTTATCTAGAGATAGTATTGGGCTCAGGAGGCGCGGAAGCGGGGGGGCGGGGGGGGGGGCTCCTCTGAAGCTTGTGGGCTCTGGGGACAAGATGTTTACCTTCTGGAGGCTGGACATGCCGCCCGTGGCTCCCCAACCCACCCAGGGAGGAGTGGCACGGGACACAGAGGGCCCGGGTACCACATCCGAGACAAAGATCTGGGAAAGATCCACAGAGCTGCCAGCCTGGGCAAGGGTGGAGAACTCTCTCTTTCAGGACAAATGGCTTGGATGTGAGAGACAAGATGAACAGGAGCACTCCACATTTGGACTGTGCCAGGGGCCAGCCGGGAGTGGTAAGTCTCTCAGCAGACAGAAAATGTTTGTTAAATCTCTGTGATAAAGAAACAGGACTGTCTGACGAGGCCGTGCAACGCCGGGGGGAGGACGTGCGGCTCGTCTGCTAGACCGCAGTGCTGATCCGAGTGCAGTGGCACAGCGGGCACGCGCTCTCCACTGTGCCGTCACTGGTGAGAACAGAGCTACAGTAGCAAAGCTGCTTTTATACGAGGCAAATACTGGAGCAAGAAACAAGGATGACCTCACACCACTCTCACTGGCTGTACATGAAAATAAAGAGCAAATGGTGAGGTTTTTATTAAATAGAGGTGCAAAAGTCGATGAGAAGCAATCACCATCTCACTTAAAACAAAGAAAGACCTAAAAAATGTTCTGAAAGGAGCAATCCTGATCTACAGGAATCTATCCACTGCAGGTAGCAAGACAAGTTCAAGGACAGTGAATGAAAGTTCTGAAGAAGACTCTCGAAGGAGCAGCACGTGCCGCGGCACCATCACAGCTGGTCGACGCTGCTGTTTCTGGGCTTCCCAGCGGACCTGGAACTGACTCATGGCCCACATCAGACGAAGACTTTAAGACAAAGTGCTCTCTTATGAAATTAATTTTCCTGCTCTGAATTTAATTTTCTGTAGCACTTACTCTTAAAATTTACTAGTGGTCTACCTATCATTGTTTTGTGTAACAGAAAATTGGTCTCTTTTATTGTATGACCCTTTTTATATGAAATTTCCAGAATGAGCGAATCCACAGAGACAAATCAGACAGGTGGTTGCCAGGGACTGCGGCAGGGGCAATGGGGACAGACTACTTCGTGGGAATGGGCTTGCCTTTCAGGTGATGAAATGTTTTGGAACTAGATAGAGGTGATCATTGCACAACACTGTACATGTACCAAATGCTACTGAATTTTTCATTTTGTTACTTTTATGTTTGGTAAACTTTACTCAACTAAAAAAAAATACTGTCATAATAATAATCAATCAATTGAATTAAGATCATGTTACACATTTTAAAATAATCCAATGGGCTCATTTAAAAGATGTTTTCTGGGGAAAGGTTACATTGTTGGTTTGGGATTTTTCTTTTCTTGAGGTGGGCTGTGGGTTTCTCCCTCGGGACTGCTTTCGCTGTGTCATATGGATTTTGGGTTGTCATGTTCTTATTTTCATTTGTCTCAGAGTATCTTTTTTTTTTTTTTTAATATGTTATTGATTTTAAAGAGAGAGGGAGAGAGAGGGAAACATCTATCAGTCGCCTCCTGCATGCCCCCTACTGAGGATTGAGCCTGCAACCCAGGCATGTGCCCTGACCGAGAATTGAACTAGCGACCCTTCGTTGTACGGGACGATGCTCAACCAGCTAAGCCACACTGGCCAGGGCTTGTGGTATCTTTTGATTTCTTACTTGGTCTCATTGTTAGCCCATTCATTGTTTGGTAGTGTGTTCTTTAGCCTCCATGTGTTTGTATGTATTTTAGTTTTTGCTTTTTTAAAAAAGTTGATTTCTAGTTTCATGCCACTGTGGTGTTGGGGGGAAGGGGGGAATGATTTCAATCTTTTTAAATTTCTTGAAGCTTGTTTTGTGACCTAACATATGGTCTGTCCTGGGGGGTGTTCTATGTGCACTTGAGGGGAATATGTGCCCTGAAGTTTTGGGGTGTAATGCTCTGAAAATATCAATTAAGTTCATTTGGTAAAATGTGAACCCAAAAAAAAAGCAATGGCCAATCACTGGACATTAAGCTTCAGACATTATCAATGACTAACACTGATATTTGTTTGTCTCTGCGCCACCGTGAGCAACAGCATTTTTACAACCACAGAAGCAAAACGAAGTCTGGCTTGTCCTCTGGCTGGATGGCCGTCTTCACTTCGCAGGCATTTTCTCCGCCAGGTGCTTCTGCTGACTTTCGGCGTGTCTGCAAAAGTGAGAGTACAGCTGTTCAGTGCTAAGAAGAAAGATCCACGCTGCTTTCCGATCAGCAGCTAAAATATCCTTCAAACTGAGGTTCAGGAGTTACTCATAGTGAAATCAAGTGAACCAAGAAACAGTTCTTAATTCAAATAGATTTGCCCTCTTCAATTTTTATATTCTGTGCATGGCTTCTTCTATTTAATGAGCCACTGGGTTACCCGGAGACTGGTTAAAGAGCTGTGTTGGAAAACGAGAAGCGGTAAGTCTCTGGGGTCATTTACTCAACACATGTTCACTGTGTGCCAGGCACTGCTCCGGACACGTGGGGTTTGGTGGTGAGCAGACAGTGAGCTCTTCGCTCTCATGGAGCATACATTCCAGAGAGAGAGACAAGAAAGGAACAAATAGCAAGCAAGGAGTGAGCAAACAGAAAATAAGCGCTAAGCAAAAAGTCAAAACAAGGTTGGGTGACAGTAACTCCGTGACTACTTGACGTTAACACGGTGCTCACACACAGACACACATACTAGCAAGGCCCCTGACAGAGCCAGTAATCCAATGCCATTCTTGTAAGAGAAAATGTCTTCCTAGCAAATGGTAGGCTTTTGTGGATGTGAACAATTTCCACGTCTGAATACTTTCCCCCCCTCAACTAGTCCTAAGAGCATGATCATGTCAGTGAGGGCAGGGGCAGGGTGGACTGAGTCTTCCTATTCATCCAGCCTGTTATGGCCTGTGAGCCCAAAGGTGGCCAGCCCCGCCCACGGCCAGTGGAGACAGTGGGAGGAACGGCCAACCTGCTGATGTTGCTTGAATGGGCACTAATGAAACATCTTCTCAGGGAGCGGTAGGGTCTGAAGGTTGCGAAAGACAAATGTTTTGAAGACGGATATTAGGAAATTATAAATTTAGCAAGAGAACAGCATCTAAGGGTGTGGTTTTGGTTGTACTCAAAGGATCGGGCAGTCTTGGTGCACTACCGTCATTTGGAGAGTCAATGACGTCAAGCTCAACACACTGGTTTTGTGCAGAATGTCTCATATCTATGGTACAGAGAAGACAGACCAGGATACTTTCAGAAATAGGGAAGTGACATTAGTGTCCTTGCCACATCCAGCGGCCCACAAGTAATTGGTGATATTCATTTAACAACAAAGGCACTCAAGAAAATGATATCCTTGCCCTGGCCAGTTTTGCTCAGCGGTTAGAGCGCCCGCCTGTGGTCCGGAGAGACCCGGGTTCGGTTCCCGCTAAGGGCATGTACCTTGGTTGCAGTTTGTCCCTGGCCCTGGTTGGTCGTGTGGGTGGCAGCCACTCGATGTGTCCCTTTCACATCGATGTTTCTCTCTCTCTCTTCCTCTCTCTCCCTCCCACTCTGTCTGTACAAAAAATGTCCTTGGGTGAGGATAAAAAAAATAAAAATATATATATTATGCTCTTTAGCAGACCACATCATGGCCCTATTTATGTGTATAAAAGAATCCTGATCATATTCATAAAGTAGCTCCTTGGTCTCACTTAAACAAGTTCATTCAGTTCAAGAAATAGTTTGACGCCCAGTGAGCTAAGATTCTACTATAGCTAATTAAACTCTAGTTCTTACAGCAGTTTTAAAATATGTATCTGTGTATATACACTCAGAAGAAGGTTATTTTTTTTTCTGAAAAAGAAGGAAAGAACAGCTAGGATATTGCTTTGGGAAATATTGAAAATTGAGTATTATTTTGAGACATACATATAAGGGTGAAAACAGATACACCGTACAACCCAGCAATTCCACTTCCGAGTATTTATGCAAAGAAAACAAGAACACTAATTGAAAAGATATATGCACCTATATGTTTGCTGTAGCATTATTTACGATAGCCAAGCTACAAAAGCAACCTAAGTGTCCATCAGGACATGAATGGATAAAGATGTGGTACACACACACTGGAATATTATGGAGCAATAAAAAATAAAATCTTGATATGTGTGACAACATGGATGGATCTAGAGGCTATTATGCTAAGTGAAATAAGTCAGACAAAGAGAAAATCCATATGGTTTCACCAATATGTGAAAACAAAAAAAACCAAACAAGTAAAACAAAAACAGACTCATAGAAACAGAGACCAGAGGAATGGTTACCAGTAGGAATGGGGGAGATGGTGAAAGGGGAGGGGAATATAGTCAACAATATTTTGATAAGCTCACACAGTGACAAGTGACTAGATTAAGTGGGGTGATCATAATGTAAGGTATGAATCACTATGTTGTATACCTAAAACTAATATAACCAATATAAGAATGCATACCAACTTAAACAATAATACTTAAACAATAATAAATTTTAAAAAGGGTGAATTTCATTAAAATTTTAAACAAAGGAGGGAAAAGGGAATCAGTCCATACAACTAAAAGGTCGTCATCAACTATTTATATAAAAGCCCCACAAGGACTCCTTTTTATCAACAGTCATTGTTGGGGACCTACTATGTACCTGGCAGTCCCTGTCTGGGGCGATGGGGACACAGCAATGGATAAAAATGGTGCCGTCTCTGTTTTCAGGGGATTTACAGTCAGGTCAGGACAGACAGCAGAAGATGTAGCTCATATGATCAGGCTCCATATGGGAGGGATGCCCCATTGCCAGGAACACAGAGAAGAGTGTCCTACCCCAGTCTTGGGAAGTCAGGGAGCACTTCTCCAAAGGGGCATCATACAAACCAGTGGTCCTCATTTGGCTGGGGAGCTTTAAAAACTCCTAATGCCCAGGCCACTCCACAGAATAATTAAATGAGAATCTCTGGGGGTGAGACCCAGGCATCAGTACTTCATAAAGGTCCCAGGGGTTCCAGTATGCAGCCACATCTGAGAACCACTGGCCTGAATGGCCCCCGGATGGTAGGAGTTGGACAGGTGAGGGGAAGAGGTGAACAGGATTTTAGCAGCCCTGCAGCCATGCTCTTAGCCCACTCGGACCTGGCTGCAAAGCTCTGGGACTGCTACCTTAGGGACGTTTAGGTATGTCCTCCCTTTCCCCCATGAGCAAAGTTACATTTCTGCAGCCAGGAATGGACATAGAAACCTCTCCCTACCTACTTCAATTTAAAGGGCTCCTCCAACATCTTTAAATTAGCAACCCCTCTTCTTTTAACCCCATGGTTCTGCCTACCCTGTTTCCTATGATCACACCATCTGAAAGGAATACACAAAAATATATCACAGTCCTAAGTAATACCTTGATTCTTTGAGAGAAGGGGGAATCTCGCAATGTCCTTGCAATGAGTAAGGCCAATGCTGCTTTGAGGGGCAGAGAAAACCCATAGGCAGATCATAGAATTTATCAGAGTTCATGTATTTTTCAAAGCTGCAGGTCCTGGGTGTATATTTCACTACTGATTCCCCAATAATCTTAACATCTGTATGCAGACTTGACTAACACAATGCGATGTATCTCCTAGTTGTTGATGCAGTGCCTGAATACATCTGTAGATGGCAATATTATTATTTAAGTGTTATTGTGATTTGAGCGTTATTTCAGATGCAGACAGTATGTAAAGAAGGTACAGGAAGGCCTTCTGGTTTAGTTTTTGTATCTTGTTAGGGGTAAGGGAGTATAATATTCCAAACATACAAAACAGAATGCTGCCCATAGATAGGTTGTAAAAATAAAATGCCTAAACATAGTTCTGTGGCATTTATTTTGCTACTAAACTATTTTTATAACGTTTGCATTTAGAAAAATGTTTTCCCCAGTGTTCCACACCGAGGAGGGGTCCCGTGAGCACGGTCACCACACACTTTCAAGCTCCATTAGGACGTGCCTGGGTCCTGTGGTTAATGCCTAGGTCAGCATGACGAGCAGTGTTCTTTCTTTCCTCGGGGAGCCTCTGCTCTCTGAATACCATTTCTGGGATTAATAGTAATTATTGCCTCCTGGTTTAAAGACTTCACATAAACGGTCTCTGAAAAGGTGCCAAAAGTAAACAGGAGACACTAGGGATGCTCGCAGCATTCTGTGACCTTTCAATAGTCAGATGGCAGGCTTTTCTACGAGGAAAACCAACAAACGCAAGACCTTGACCAGCACTACCTGGTTCCTTATCCCCCAGGGAAGGAAGCATTCTTTACCTCTGCACAGAGAGGCACTTGGAGCCAGGCCCAGCTAAATACTCAAGCCCTGGAGTTTCCCCCTGGCGAGAGCAATCTGGTGGCACTGGTGCTGTGGAAAGATGCCAGTGTCCCTGCCTTCTGGGCATAGCAGATGCGATCAACAGTCAGGTCACATAACAGCAAGTGCCATTTTGTGGCACCCACCCCGCGGTGGCTCATACGCTGGAAACCCGCCAGCAGGGGATGGCTCAGAGCCAGCTCCCCGCCGGTCCTTCAGGACAAAGTCCTCGTGGGCCAGAACTGCTGGCCCGACTCGGGTGTGCTATACAAGACGTTCGAATGCCCAGATGACCCATCACAAGGGGAGCGGGTATGACAAGCAATGCATTTGGGAAGGAGCCGTTAGGCCACTTCCCCTTCATCTGAGCAGCTGACACCAGCAGGGATTAGGTGAGGAACTCATGGAAATGAGGAAGGAAGTTCTCTAGAGCTCCCTCTTGCCCTAATTCAACTTCAGACCACCCCGGGCTTCTCACTTTCTTTGGAAAGGGCGAAACATCACGGACCTGGTCAAGTCTTCGATGTCCACCAGCATGGCGTCCTGTTCCGTGTGCAGCTCATCTCGGATGAGGAGCAGCTGGACCAGCTCTTCATTCAAGCCTGGGCCAAAGAGAAGAGCACACTTAAAAACAGACGAGACTGCATCCAAGCCAGAACGGGTCACTGTTCACGGGCACCACAGATATCTGCAGACCTGTATTTCTGTTAAAGCTTAGAATTCTTATATTAGCTTCTCATAAGCTCAGGGGAAGCCATCGACTTGAGAACATGGCTAGTGCATAACTGTAAGAGTGTTGGAAGGAAAGGAGTCGAGTACAAGGGATTTCCAAATACATTCACACTAGAGTGGGAAAGGGAATCGTTAACTATTAGGGAAACAGCTTGTTAGGAAAAGCGGGGTTTGGTTTTGAAGAAATGTGAGCAAAAATGTCTAGAATGCATTAAGTTTTCTACTGTTCCTGCCATGCTGGGAGTCGGAGGGGCTGCCCTGCCTGGCAGGCTGCATCAGATGGCCACCTGGGGAGGAAGGTGCTGCAGGGATGCTCAGAGGCTTCCTGCGGTCTCGAGCTAGGGCAGCCCTGTGTGTGGGCTGTTCCAGGACAAAGTATTAGCTCAAGACACTGGAAATCCAGCTGTGTAAGACCAGAAGAAATACCTCCTGCAATCTCTGGACCACAGGTGCCAAGGCAAATATTCCTCAGGACTTATACTGGGAATAAAATAGACGGCCACATTTCTAATCTTCCTGAAATCAGTGCCGTGGATCAGTCTGGCTTGTGCCTCCGAAAATGATGAACAAGCAACGGGCTTGCTCTGGCGTTTTCCCCTCCGCTCAGCTCAGAATGAAAGCCTGTAAGTCTGGCCACATGGACACACGGGGAAGGCCATTCATTCAGTGAGAGCCCTGGGCTCAGACACCGAAGATGGCAATTTTATTCTTTAAAAATCTAAGAAAGATGTCTAGTGGTAAAATATCACTAATGGCAGAATAACACTCCTAGTAATTTATTCTCAACTAAAATGAAAATGTAGTAGACTTTAAAAAAATAATCCAGTGAATCTATGGTTTCTTAATTAAAATGTTAAATTCTTTCTTTTGATTTTATTTTTATTAAAAATTTTTAACTTAATTTTATTTTATTAAAAAATTTTTATGTTGACATTATTGCAGACTTCCCCCATGCCCCTCCCCCGCGTCAGTCTTCACCACACTATTATCCGTGTCCGTGGGGTACGCATATATGTTCTCCAGCTAATCCCTTCACCTTCTTTATCCAGTCACCCCACTCCCCTCCCTCCTGGCTCCCGCCAGTCTGGCCCATGTATCCCTGCTTCTGGTTCCATTTTGCTTGTTAGTTTATTTTGTTCATTAGATTCCACATATTAGTGAGATCATATGGTATTTGTCTTTCTATGACTGGCTTATTTTACAGATGAAAGAATTTCTTATCTCTTCTTGACTTTAAAACATTACTGAATGTATTAACGTGACATTGAATATGTCCAATTCTATTTTTCCCAATGTGTTCTCAGGGTAGCTTTTTACACTAGTACTCAGTAGAGTGCCTACATAGTGCACAGGAACTTTTTGCCCCATATGAAGTTTTTGACTTTTTATTATGGAAAATTTCAAACTGATAAAAAAGCAAAGAGCATAGTTTAAGAATGTCCCATGCATCCAATTAGCTTCAACCATCCAATCTTGACTCAACTATCTCCCCTTCTCCTACTAGGTTATTTTAAAGCAAATTCCAGACATCATATAGTTTCATCTACTGGTACTTCAGCATGTATTTCTAAAGATAGGGCTCTTTTAAAAAAATTACCATAACAGCCCTGGCCAGTCTGGCTTAGCAGTTAAAGTGTCAGCCTGTAGACCAGAGTCTCGGGTTTGATTCCAGTCAAGGGCATGTACCTCAGCTGCAGTTCGATATTCAGCCCTGGTTGGGGTTGTGCGGGAGATAACCAATTGATGTGTCTCTCTCACATCAATGTTTCTCTCTCTCTCTCCTTCCCTTCCTCCCTCCCACTCTATCTAAAAATCAATGGGAAAATATCCTCATGTGAGGATTACAAAATAAATAAATAAATTACTATAATCACATACCTTCATCATATCCGAATAAATAAATACATCTTTAATAAAACATTTAGTCAGTGTTCAAATTTCCCCACTTGGCTTCTAAAAAATGCTTTTTACAGTTGGTTTGTCTGAATGCATTTGGTTGGCATATGTCTTAGGTGGCTTTATCTGTAAGTGCATATGCTTGTAACAAATCATATGTTCCAGAGGACTTGTGAGCCTGTCTGGCTTCACCACATGACCAAGTGAGCACGCTGTCTCTCTCATCGGGTTAAATAACTGACCTCTGCACCTCTAATCAGTTCAGTGAGCGCCACTCACTCACTACCTCTCTGCACCACAGTTATTCTGGGGGAGACAGGCCTGCATTTTGTGACCCTGTGATTTTCACGTATTGGTCACATATAATCTCACCACTTGGAGTACCACAAATAAGTCAAATGTGATTTGGTGACCTAAAATGAATATATGTACTAGTAAAGTTGAAGGTCTAATTGTGTAACAAATGACCTGTAACTACTAAATTGTATTCTAGAAACAGATGTTGCAAGCCAAACACAGGCCAAGACTTGCTACTTAAAAATAAATAAGAAAGACATAACCTTGAAAAAGTCTTAAAGTTTCTTACTATAAGAGAGAGAGAGAGAGAGAGAGAGAGAGAGAGAGAGAGCGCGCGCGCGCGAGCAAGGGCTTGTGATCCTGTTCCTTTCCTTGCAAGCACACAGGAGGAACCCAACGAAACGCTGTGCAAAGGAACTGAATCAAGGAAGTGATACTATCCCATTGTATTTTACATGTATTATTCCATTTTCAAGCACACCTTACACTTACTTTCTATCTGCGAATGGAGATCATTGACTATCACTTGTAGCTGCCCGATAGTCATGTCCCTCAGGTCAGTGGGCTTTAAACTCCTTTTCATCAAGCATTCACTTATGTGAGGCATGTGTGGCAGCTGCAGACACAGAGGGGAAGAGATGAAGGTGGAACAGAGTGGCAAGTGCACTGAACCCAAGACCCAGTCTCCCCCCTCATCACCCACCTCAAGTTCTGGGCTTAAAACCTTTCCCAGTCTGACTTCCCCCGTGTGAGGCCCCACAGCGCATTGTCTAAAACACTGTCAGCATCAAAATGCTACATGCTCAAACCAAAAGCTTCCAGATTGGTTCTTAACACAGGCCGTGACAACCACGAGTCAATTATTATATCCACAAATGAATTACCGGGGAGCTCAAGTAATGGCAATCAATGGCATGGATAAAATTAATAATATCAGCTATTTATTAACGTATACCATGCCACAAGTACTGTGCTACATGCTTTGAATGTTTTGTTCATGGAATTCTCACAATCGTGCTCTGACACAGGTCCCACTGTATGTATTATTCCCATTTTATAGATGAGAAAACTGAGACTTATATAACTTATAGGTCAGTGGCAGAGCTAGACTTAAACTCCAAAGTACAGGGCTCTAACCCACTATGCTCTACTATCTTTGTGGAAAGGCGGGAATGAGAGCTATAGCAGTGTGAGTTTGCCACAACCAATAGGTTCTCAAACTGAGACTGCTTTAAAGGAATTTAAATATCCCTATGACAGCTAATAGTGCCTCTAAGAAACACAGTAGATAAAAATCAAGAGCCAAGTTTACTTTTGTGAAATCTGTTGCTTATGCATCTTTCAGTGATACAGTAGAAAGGGAAAAGAAACACACTTAAATATTTCTCAATGACAGTACTTTTTACCAACTGCCTTGGAGAAACCCAAGTTTGCATAACTCTGGTAACGGACGGGGACAGTGTCAACCATTTGCAGCCACCAAACACTTGATTGCAATTCAGTGTTTGCTGCTTACGAGATCAGCGACGGGAGACTTTTTCCTGTTCTGTTTTTCCACTTCTACTTGCATTTTGGCCATGGGTTTGGCCATGGCGAGGGCCATTTTGGCTTCGGCTTGCAATTTCTTTTGCCTTGTGAGGAAATCCATATCATCTAGGGATTCAGATTCCTCTTCAGTAGTGTCTCTATCGGAATAGGAGGAGCTCTGTTTGCTCTGTGAAGGGAAAAAAAGAGCAGCCCTGAGCTTTGCATAGCAGGTGCCATCGGGGAGAGGGGCTAGGGCCTTCCCCGAGCCCTCCCGTGACCTCCCTCCATCAACTCAGCTCGCCTCGTGATTTGCCCTGTAATGATCTCAAGTAAAAAGGTAGTTTATTTCCTCAGTGTCAATATCAAACTGTGATTTTTAGCATAAAGAGTAGCATAATAAATAAAAAATAGGAAGAACAGATATATGACAAACTTGAGACATTTCTTTGATTCTTGTTTTCAAAAGATCAGACACAGCAAAATATTTAACCCAGAACTAAAGGAGCATGTTGCTGTCTGGAGTGGACAGGATCTCAGGTGTCCAGTGACCAACACGGTTTCCTTGGTAAGAAAACGTTATTGGTTGGTGAGAAAAGTGATGCACAGACCTCACTGAGTGGCAAGAATTCCAGCAACAAGCTCCCATGATCAGAAAGCCATCTTTTATCATGTGTGCAAGGAATGAGTAAGGAATACCATACACACTTCATCTCGTTGATTTCTCCGAGCAACACCTCTGGGCACAAGCTCTCCCACCCTGCCCTGCCCCCTATCTTTTTAAAACGTGTCCTACTGCTGGTCTGTGCTCATATTTCTAAACCCAGTAGGGAAGGATTGATATTTAGCATATTTTCCTTTAAAAATTTTTGGGGCACATGCGGTTTCTCTTATGGTTTCATATGAAAGTAGTTGCTAACTTTAACAGAGCTGTATCACAGTTTTGATTTTTCCTTCACTGTCAACTTAGGAGCATGTCACGAAATGCAGAGAGTGCCGGCTAGTGTGCTCAGTGGATTGAGCATCGGCCCATGAACTGAGAGGTCCTGGTTCGATTCAGGACTGGGTTTCGGGCTCGATCCCCAGTAGGGGGCGGGCAGGAGGCAGCTGATGGATATTTCTTTGTCACATTGATGTTTCTATTTCTCTCTCTAAAAAGTCAATAAAAACATATATAAAAAATATACAAAGAAACATTTCTCTTTTTAAAGCTCTGTAATGTCTGTTCCCGACTAACAACAGAAAAGAAGCTAAGTGGTCAGAAAAGCGCACACACCGAGCTTCAGTGGCAGCTTTTGGACTCACCATGGGCGACAAGGGGGTGTCCAAGCTGGTTTCAGTCTTACTGTCATCTGCATCGCTGTCCTTGTCACTGCCGCTGTCGTTGACAAAGCAAATCTGCAGGTTCATCCCACTCTGGAGGCTGGGCAGAAGCAAACAGGACACCAAGTCCACTTAGCTACTTGTGATCTGGTCGCACCCTACTGAACTGTCTGGGTTTGCTAATGAACAGCAGTTTTATGTATTCTTCACATGGAGAAGTGAGCGACCGATATTCCTCTGAACTCGACAGTGATAACATGCTAGAGGATAATAATGATCACTTGATAACTTTACAACTTGATAATGATACAATCATAACTTTTACTAACGTTGTATTCGTTTTTCTTCACACTCATTTCATGTTAAGTGAAAAATAATTTAAAGCCACATAGTATAGCACCCAGCACAATACCAAACACATAGTTGATGCCCAATAAAAACGTGTTGAGTCACTGGGTTTATGTTCCTGCCGACGAAGACGAATGGGGTCTTGGGCCAATGGAGCTGCGTGGTGTCATCTGTGTCCTGTCCCAGGGGAGGGTCCGAGGAAGCTCTCCAGAGCCCGCATCCCGGGGCCCCAGCTCTCTGAAGGCCCCCCTCCCCGCCCCCTGCCAAATGGAATAGGGTCATCTGAAGGAAATTTTTATTTAAGGCAGTCGTCAAAAGCCAACCAAGGAAGCTCATTTATGTCGTTAAGAAAAAAATGCACCCTGGGTCCAGCCTGGGGAAACGTCAGGAAAGCCCACGCTCAGCTGGACAGGCGCAGCCTCGTGCACGGAGCCTCCGGCGGGCAGCTTTCTCGGGAGCTCAGTGTGTCTGGGGCAAATCCTGAGGCTGCAGGCGAGATACCGCTGGAAGCGGGGTCACAAAGGGTCACCCCGCATCTGCCGTACACTGGGCAGATGGCAATCAGACTCTTTGTCCCTACCTTTCTTCAGGCTGAACACATTTCACTGCTGTCTGGTGATGGGGAGTTTTTAAAGAAGTAATTTTCTGCCCTGACCAGTCTGACTCTGGTTAGAGTGTCAGCTGGACGGGTTCGATTCCCAGTCAAGGGCACGTACCTGAGTTTCGGGTTCGATCCCCGGCCCTGGTTGGGTTGTGCAGGAGGCAGTGAATCGATGTTTTCCTGTCACGTGAATGTTTCTCTCTCTCCTCCCTTCCACTCTATCTAAAATCAATGGAAAAGTATCCTTGGCTCCTAAGTAGCAAGGCTGTAGGCATGTCTAAACCAGGTTTGAGGCAGCGGACACTGAACGGCTCAGCCTTGTACTGTTCCAGGAAGAAAGGCAAAGAGCTACTTGCCTGACAGTGGACATTTGCATTTGATTTTTTTAAAATCCCCATGGCTTGGGATGCTCTGTGTAAAATGCTCAGATGGCTCATATGAAGTGCTTCTTTGAAAATGACAAAGAACCTAGAAAAAGAACTCTACTGATTTAACAGGGGCACCACCATTGTTACGTATGTACTGCCACCTATGGTTCGCTTCCATAATTAGTGAGAAGTCCCCGCTTGTTTCCCTAGAAAGGCCAGGCAGCCCATCCCTCCGCAGGCCCGTTCTGTCCCCTTCCTGCCCTCAGCTGCCGCAAGGAGCTGGCCTCGGGCTGGGCGCAGGAGCCCACAGGTGCTGTGTGATCAGCTCAGGGTGCTTGGGTTCAGTCAGACTTGGGATCTGAAGTCTCACTTCTGTCCCTAGCATATTACTCTACGACCCTCAGTTTCCTCAACTGTAAAATGGGGTGAATAAATCAGTGTTTTGTGGGAAGAATGAAGAGTTGGCTGAGAGCTGGGCACAAGGCAGGTGCTCTGTACACATTAAGTGCCCTTCTTTCTCTACTTTCTGAGAACCTAGACAAAGGAGCACAAAAGTGACGTGGCTTTGCAAAGTGCCCTCTGAAGCCACTTACTGGAACACCTCGCCTGGTCACAGCAACTCCCTGATGTGCGCTCAGCTGGGACAGTGGCCGTGAGCTGTCTTAACTCTGTTAGGCAGCTGTAGTTCTACGGACCTGGAACTCGTCTCCTCTTAACCTTCTTCCACTGGAACTTTTTTTCCTGAGAAATCTAATATGTTTAGGTTACCCTTACATCCCATGTAAATTAAATTTTAAAATATGTTATCTGTAGTTTGTCAAAAAAACGCCCCAATATCAACCCATTATTAATGAAAAAACAACAACTCAAGATCAATGGATTCGAAGGTAATGGGAAATGAAATTAGAAATTAAAAACTAAAGACACATTTTAAAATAAAAAGACACTGTTATTTAAACCTAATTCAAATCTAAGATTACGTAGCGCTATTTATTGAATAGCTGAAGTTTTGTAAAGAAGCGTGTGGCCGCTGGACACAGAGATTACAAAAATATAAAATAACCCACGATATCATTACAAAGTAAGATTTAAAACATTCAAAGATATATATTCTAAGGAAAGTCTGACCATAAATTCTATTGTTTTGCCTCCAAACTGAACTTCGTGCTAGGATCAACTGAGACCGAAACCAACCTTCCCATTCGGGGTTTCTAACCCAGGAAAGGCAGAGGGAAAAAGGAGGGGCGGAGGGGGCAGGATTCAGCAGTCAGAGTGGAATGAAAAAAACCCCTCAGGTAGAAATTCAGAAAATCGCCTTAGTACCACATTATCACCGTGGGAAACCGAACAGAGCTTCTTACAGGGTGAGACTTCTAATTCCTTACAGCGGTGATCACCACGAACCTCCTCTCAGGAAAAGGGAATTATATGACATAACAGCTAATGGTTCAGAGGGGATTTCTGTAAAGACATCTTAAGACGGACTCAAGTTTCAAAAAGGATTTGTTTGCCTTTAGCCTTTAAGCGGGTTTGAAGGCGAAGGTGGCTTTGGGGAAATTCAACCAAAGCTCCCCAGCACGGCCTAGCTGGGGGTGAGCAGGGCCTCCGTGTCCAGGGTCAAGCTCGATAACCCGCCCTGGCCCCTTCCAGCCTGGGGGGCAGGGCTGAGCTGAGGCTGGCCCCTGGGCCCCGGAGGCCCGGGCTCCCGTCCACACCGCAGCACACCACCCAGCCTCACTCACAGCCAGGCCGCAGTCTCGCAAAAGCCAAGCTGAAGTGAAAACAGAACAGAACCCTCACCCTGTTAATCGGCGATATAAGTTAAGGTGTCCACGTCAAGGTTACTTTGTTTCCAGTGGCATGTAGCAGAGCCCTGCCTGAGCCAGGCTGCGACTTCTGCTACCTGTGGATTTTCCTTCTGAAAGGTCTGCGTCCTGGTTCGCCCAGAACTCTGTTCCCCTTGGGCACCTCGGGGCTGACCAGAGCTCCTGACAGGAAGCCCAGACACCTGGGAAGGGGGTGTTCTGGATGGGGAATGCTCGGAAAGATGGAGAGACAGACAAGTGTGTCCTCCAGACATCTCGGTGGAGCACAGTGGCTTTCTGAGTGACGAGTCCTATGGCCGGGACCGGGAAGGCATTCGGTCGAGAGGCTGTTCAGCACCCACATCTGCTTGGCATTTACAGTAAGGAAGAGGGGTACTTGGAACACGCTCGTGCTGACTTCCAACCATCGTTACCAGGGATACTACAAAACTATGAACGAAAGCGGGAGGATGGTAGAGATGAAAAGTTCTTAATTACTAAGAGGGTACCTCAAAAACTTAGCCTAGTGGTAACAGGATATGGAAAAAAGATAACACATTTTTCAAAATACAAGGACACCACGGGTTTATTTCCTGGGACAAACAATGCAGTGGTCCTGAAGTCTGCTGTGACTTCCAGTGGGGCAAGAGCCACTGTCAATCGGGCCTCAGTCCTTGGCCCGGGGTGTGTGACCGGGACTGGGCCATCTTCAGCCAGCTCTGAACCCCAGAACTATTTGGTGTTTTCTGATTTTAGAAATAGGTATCTCCCAGTATCAGCTTGGACCACCAGTGTTTTTATATAAATATTTAAAAGTCTTTGGTTTTACCCTCCTGTACTACCTGTTAATTAACTTCACTTGAAATGATGCATTGAATTTGAGTTTATGTATTTATTTATTTATTTATTTAATTTGCAAAACACTTTTCCCTCCCAATTTTTATTAATTTATTTTTGTTAGAATTTGAGTTTAAAGGTATGTTCACTTAAATTCTCTCCTTGGGCTGAACAACTAACCACCTGTGCATTACATGCAAATGACGGTTCCTCAGAGAAGTCAAATAACCTGCCCCAACTGTGACAGCCTGATTATAAAAATGGCCCCAGTTCTTCCCCTCTGGAACAGGACTTTGCAGCTTCTTCCATCAAGAGGTGGAGTCTATTTCCTAACTCCTGGGCTGGCGTCCTGACTTGTCTTGGCCAACAGAATACGGAGCAAGTGACTTCGTTCCAGCTCTAAGCCTCCCTCTCTCAGGGAACCTGCGCCAAGTGCAGGCAGGTGAGTGACTTTGCAGCACAGAGCGCAATCAGCCGTTGTCCCAACGGAAGCTGGGGACACATGACAGAGCTCCGCTAAGAGCAGTAGAGGCACCTCTCCACATTGAAGCTGACGGCAGCCAGGAGTAAGCCCACGCCAGCCCAGCTCTGAGCAGCAAAACCGCTCAGCCGACCTATGCAGGCTCCTAAGCTGAAATGAGTGCTTATCGCTGTATGCCACTGTGGAGGGTGGTTTATTACGCGTCATCACTGTGGCAACGGACAGCTGGTACAAGGTCACAAAGCAAGAGACTGCAGGCTGAACCTCTGGTATTGGAATTCAGTGGCCTTTCCCTGAGATTATACTTGACCTTAGGTTTGGATTTATTAGATCCTGCCTGGGATGGCCATATAATTTTAAAGGGCAGACACCCCCTCTAGTTGCTTATAAGTTAAAGGAAATTGTACAGTTTCCTTAAGACACTGAGTGAGAGGGAACTTCCCATGTGCCTATGGATTTCAAACCCGCCTTGCTCATCTGTCTACGACCAGAGTGACTAAGAACCACGCGCCCTGCTGGGCCATTCATTACTCAATATGCCCAACCAGTCTGTGGATGGGATGCTAAAATATATTATTTTCATTTATTTTTATGGATCTTTGATGCATTATTCAAAGATTTTACACATAACAAGTAATCACCCATATTTTTATACCCTAT